GAAATAGGAAAATATTTGGTCAATCCTCCTTCAGTTTGAACACAAGTAACAACTCTAGTATACATATCTTTAATGACTCGAATATAAGTCATATCAACACCTTTCTTCTCAAGAACTCTCCAAATGATATCTCTTGGAACCTTAAAATCACTAAAGTCGATCGTGTTTTCAGAAACTTCATTAAAAAAGTTTGTCAGAATAACTCACTCACTTATGTTGAATATCTTTTTCTAGAAAAGTACTTTTTGATTTTCATCTTTAATATACTTTACTTGAGTCAAATCTTTACCTTTTTTTCTCTTTTTCTTTCTCTTTGTTTGGCTAGTTTATACATATATTTTTCACTCTCCTTAGTATCTAATTTATTATAAAGATCATTAAAAACAAAATTTTTAGCATCATAGATTGTTCTTTTAGACATTCTGCGGGCCGTTTGATATTTTTCCCAGTTCTTTAAGTTTTACATTTAAACTTATTTTTATAACATAATTTCTTATATTTTATATTTTCTTGCACAATATTATTCCACCACAAATTATTTTTATTTATAAAAAAATTTTATTTTGATTCCCCAAACACATCTTTTGCTACTTGTTTAATAGTGTTTGTTACTTTATCCCACATAATATTTGCTTCTTCATGAACATCCCAAATTTTGAAATCTTAAATTTTACTCATAAAAAATAATTTTATTTGTATCTTTTAGATTCTCTCACCTGGTAATAAGTCCTATTATTCTTTATTTTATAACTTTTCATCTTAAAATCTAGAACTAATAAACGATGTTGGGTACTTAAATTCTCGTTTGGAATGACCTTACAATCTTTACAATCTTATCTCGACGATCTCTTCTTCTCATAAGAAAATAATCAAATTGTATTTTATTAAATCTGCTCTTATAACTAATAGGATGCTCATCTCTTTTCTTAAATAAAATATTAGTAGTAACAAAATCATACGCTAAAATAAAATTTAAAATAGCTCTACCTTCTTCATTAGTTACTCCAAAACCGTAGCCACTATGAGTATTTCTGAAGTCTTCTATCACTCTACCGACATGTCCATTTAAATCTCCTCCAATAAAATTTTTTTCTTCAAGAGGTCTCATTTGTATTAAGTCTTCTAAGTCATTCCAAAAATTATCTTTAGACCTTGTATCTAAACCTACTTGAGGAGTATAAGCACTCATAATATTAAAAATCTTAGTATCAATGATAATTTTAAGGGCTATAATTCTATGTCCAACTTTATTAATTTTTACAACATTATCTTTCAAACTTTTATCTATAATTACACCTACACCAATTCTAGTGCGACTCTTACCAGAATACCAAAGTTTAAAACCTAAATTATCAATGTCTTGAGCCTTTTCTCCAACCCAATTAGTTTCTTGAATACATAAGATATTAATTTTCCTATAAATCATAATATTAACTAATTCCACAAATTTATCATTGAAAGCACATATATTCTAAGATCCTATCCTAGTATTAGTTTCATGGACTAACTTCTTTACCCGCATTCGTCCGTAATGTGGGAACCCTTGCTTATTTGACACTACACTCGGGCGCAGGTGTAGCAACCCTTGCACACTTTTCACTGTATTCTGGCTATACAGCGCATCGCTTCCAGGGGTCGCCTTAGCATTTACACAAAGATCAAAAAGATTTATGTCATGATTTTTTCGACAAGTTTTACGTTGGTTGTCGACTACCTAACGCAACCCTCCACTTTTCACATCCTAGCTTGGGACCTGGCAATGACAGCGTTAAATAAAAGAACTTACAAATTTAAAAATTACCTTAATTGCTCCCTTTTTTCTTTTGCAAAATCAACATGGTATTTAAACTTTAGAATGCTCTAGTCGTCAACAGCAATTCCTGGTATTGCTTGATAAAACTTCTAGTATCAATGTTTAATAAATGTTATATTTAAATAATCATTTTCTGAAATTAAATAAATAATTCCTAACATTTCGTTTTATATGTTTTTCTTGGAGCAGTGATACGTGTTTTAAATTTGGGGCTGCATTGCCATTTATGCTTTTCTTTTTTCTGTTTTTCTTACATCATCTTAGATATGATTTATCCAAAATTTGTTTTAGGGCTATCCGCCATCCAGCAAGTGGATATGTCCAAGGAATCAACGACCTTGTCACTCCATTTTTAGTAGTATTCTTGGAAGAGCATCTTGATGGAAATATGGAGAGTTGGGACATTTCACATCTTTCTCCACAAACAATCTCCAATATTGAAGCCGACTGTTATTGGTGTCTTTCTAAGCTGCTTGATGGCATGCAGGACCATTACACATTTGCTCAGCCGGGAATACAACGTCTTGTCTTTAAGTTGAAAGAACTTGTTCGTCGAATTGATGGTACATAATCTGATCTGTATAGTCATAGCTCTTTTAGTGTTTTTAATATTATCCATGTAAGGTTAGTTTCCTATATTTCATTTCAACCGCCTACTTCATTAAACTCCAAGTAATCTCAGTTTGCTTCATCTTCTTTATTATCACTGTTATGAATCAACCGGCTAGAAGAAATATAGAATATGTTTTTACTTGAATGTCAGATAAACCACTCAATCTTTTTCTATGGCTTTCTTGCTCTTTTCTTTCCCTGAAACTCAAGAAAAATTGTTACACTGATTTAGGTTAGTATTTCTAATTCCAATGATTTCTGCTTTTGTTTTGGGGATTTGGAAGAACCTGTTTCAAGACACATGGATGAACAAGGACTCGAGTTTCTTCAGTTTGCTTTTCGTTGGTTCAATTGTCTCTTGATACGAGAGGTGAGTTTTTCTCTTGTTAGCTCTACAGAAATTGGTCGTCATCTAAGTAGCTGATTTATTTTCTAACCATATAGATCCCTTTTCATCTCGTTACACGACTGTGGGATACATACCTGGCCGAAGGAGATTCATTACCGGAGTTTCTTGTGTATATATCTGCCAGTTTTCTCTTAACGGTATGTTTACAGTACCTTGCTCATAAATTAATACCTAGATGTTGGCTTTGGAATGTTTCCCAAAAATTGGATTTAGATTACTCTACTCGAAGCCGATGTATCTTTCATTACATTGTCGACTTTGATTATTTTTTCTTTTTATGAAGATAACCTTTTGGTTTAGATGGAGAATCTTGCCAATACTTGAGAATAGTTTATCTTAGTAATGCTTACTTCCAATTTAAGCTTTACAACGGTCATTGAATTCTGAAAATCAACTTCTCGTTAGCAATATTAGTTTTGCATCAATAAAAAAAAAATTAAAATGCATTTATTATGAACTGTGAACTTCCTCATATTAGACTTTTCCTAACTTTTATTTATATAAATATTCCTTTTTATCAATTTGTTAGAAGCTACTAATCGCATAAGTTTAAGATTTAGGAGAACAATAATAAAAAGTATGACGAAAGCAGAGTGGCCAAGTAATTCTCACTGAAGGCAACCAAATATGTTGGGATTTCGCGTGTGTGATTTTTCCTAGGGTCCAATTTGTGGCCTCATTCCAAATTACTTTGTGCATGAGGTGGTATTTTTCAGCATTATGATAGAATTCTTAAGCATGGATATGGTCAAGGAAATCCAACCTTTTTTTAGTTAATGTTCTTCCAGCGTGATAGTTATACACCAACTTGTAATATTTAAGCAAGTTTTTAATAGAATAAGTTTCATTGTAATATTTATGCAAGTCTTTAATATCATAAGTTTTATAAAACTCACATCAAGAAGCAAGACATAATTTTCTTAATTAGTTTAACCACTCTGTGCTCAAACACTTAGCATATTGTTTGGAAACAAAGTTAAGAATCCCAAGAGCCTCGGCTCAGAAACAGTCTAAAAAAAAACCAAACTTCTGTCAACCTATAAATTTTCTTGAAAAGTTGGAACACAAGGTTAGATGCTCTAATTTTGTCGTGTCATTTTTCTTGCATTTTTTAAAATTTTAATTCCAGTTATTTCTCTGTTAAATACAAAGAATTACAGTTGATTAAAT